TTTTATGCAGGTCAAAGGGGGGCAGAAATTCCGATTTGGAGTCTGCTTCAACCTTTTGGTGCGGGGCTTTGGGTGAAGGCTGGAGAGAAGCACCACTGTTGGCGAAGAGCCAGAGGGACTACATCATGGCCTGGAACTGGCTGGCCATCTCAGCCCACTGAGCCTCCAGGCACCGGTACCTGGCTTTGCATTCCTGCAGGTCTTCCCTCTGCTTGGAAAGCCTATGCTCGTACTNTACCATTATTTTTTTTCCCATCCCAAGGAAGTGCCAGGCAATCCAGACGTACCCTCCAGCACCCCCCTTTTCCTTTCCTTTCCCCACAGTAAAGACGTTTCATAAAATACCTGCATGTAAGAACGGAATACAGGGGACGCGGTAGCTCAGTGGCTGCTGAGCTTGTCAGCTCAGCAGTTCGAATCCCTAGCGCCGCATAACGGAGTGAGCTCCCATTACTTGTCACAGCTTCTGCCAACCTAGCAGTTCGAAAGCATGTAAAGATGCAAGTAGAAAAAATAGGAACCACCTTTGGTGGGAAGATAACAGCGTTCCGTGTGCCTTCAGCATTTAGTCATGCCGGCCACTTGACCACGGAGAGATCTTCGCACAGCGCTGGCATGAAATCTCTCGAGGCTTTGCCAATCTTTAAAAGCGGTTGTGGAGGCAGGCTGAATTGTAAGCCTCTAGGAAAAATTGTCAGCATCTGCTCCGAGTTAGCCAACATTGGCTGCACTCAAAACAGTGCACTGAGTTGCAAACTGTTCCCGCTCCCATTTTAACCTCTCCTATCTCACAACGCAGCCCATAGTAACGGCAGTTTACGATTCAGAGTGTTATGCTTTGTACTAAGTTGTTGGGTACTGTCAAGCACCAGGAGATCCAGGCAGTTCAAATGGGCATAAACAGCTTATTGTAAGTTCAAGCTCTGTACAAGAATCTGAACTATTAGCAGCTAAAGTAATTTGATGGTGAATAAGGAATTCACAACGATCTGGACTTAGATATCTTGTGTGTGTGCAGAGGGACTCGTGACTGATGACAGGTTTGGCCCCCCCCCTCCCTCGGGCTCAGCCTGGTCATCTCCTACAGGTATTGTAAAACCAGAAGGGATGATTGGGATCGTCTAGTGAAGTCCTCTATGACAGTGGTCTCCAACCTTAGCAACTTTAAGACCTGTGGACTTCAACTGCCAGAGTTCCTCAGCCAGCTTTGCTGGCTGAGGAACTCTGGGAGTTGAAGTCCACAGGTCTTAAAGTTGCCAAGGTTGGAGACCATTGCTCTATGACATGCAGGTGAAGCAGTTAAACCATCCATGGGAAGTGGCTTGTCCATCTTCTTCTTGAAAAACTCGAAATGAAAAAACTTGAAATGAGAAATCCACAGATGTGCAGTTCTTGCCACCCAAGATATTTCCCCTTATATTTAGACAAAACGTACGTCTATTAAGGGATGTGATGGCTCAGTAGCTAAAACACTGAGCTTGTCGATCAAACAGTCGGCAGTTCAACAGTTTGAATCCCTAGCGCCGCGTAACAGAGTGAGCTCCCATTATTTGTCCCAGCTTCTGCCAACCTAGCCGAAGTTAGAAAGCACATAAAAAATGCAAGTAGAAAAATAGGAACCACTTTTGGTGGGAAGGTAACAGCGTTCCCTGCACCTTCGGTGTTTAGTCATGTCGGCCACATGACCACGGAGACGTCTTTGGACAGCCCTGGCTCTTCAGCTTTGAAACTGAGATGAGCCGGAAATGACTAGCACGCATGTGCGGGGGAACCTTTACCTTTTTATGTTGGTTATTCTGCAAACCTTCTGTTCTACCAGCTGTGAGGCTCTGATGCAGCTGCTGGGTCATTCCGGTCCCTGTGTCAGAGCTGCTAAGCCTAAGCCTTCACCTAATAGTGCCCAGTCTAAGAGACTTCTCTGCACACTAAGGCTTGGAGCTTATCACTTCTGGCCTAGAATCGCCTGTAATCTCCACCCCAGCTATTGTGTCTCAGAAATCTCTCAGCTCATGTAGGGGCCCTTGGATGCACTGTAGGCTGGAGTGGCCCGGTCTGAATTCTTGATCTGTGATGTCCCAGCCTTGAACAGCTGCAGATGCTGCTGCTGCATGCTTGCTGAAGGCACCTGGCCCTGTGTCCGTTCCATGCCCCGAGGAGCCTTCAGACTTGGACTGCTAAAATTGCTAGAGGTGGCTAGACTGAAGCTCCCTCAGNTTTGCAGATATTGGCCTGTCAGCTCTCCAAGCCAGATAAGGTCTGCTGGATGTGAATGGGCAGAATTCACTGTAAATTAATAAAAGGGTTTTTTGTTGGGACAAGGAGTTTTGTTCATGCTCTTGGGAAGCCTCAGTCAGAACATGACAATTCTGGAAAACTCCCAGATGTCCCCCCAGAGATGAGAACCCACTCATTACATAAATAAATAAATAAATCCTGGCCAAAATCATTACAGGTAGTCCTTGACTTAGAACCATTTGTTTAGTGATTGTTTTAAGTAACAACGGCACTGGGAAAAGTAATTTATGATGGGTTTTCTCACAACAGCCATTGCCACGTCCACGTGATCAACATTTGAATGTTTGGCACTTGTCTCATAATTATGACTGTTGCGTGTCCAGAGGTTCTGTGATCCCTTTTTGCAACCTTCTGACAAGCAAAGTCAGTGGGGAAGCCAGATTCACTTAGCGAACATGTCACTAACTTAATAGCTGCAGTGATTCACTTAACAACTGTGGCATTGCCTATTGCTGCCTCGGTGCACTCCATTTTTGGCCTCTGCATCCTGTTTTCAGCCACTGCGCACCACGCTTTCTGAGCATTCCAGACGGCGGAGATTAGAATGGGCGGAAAATGGGGAACGCGGAGGCTGAAAACAGGGTGCACAAAGGCCAAACATGGGATGCGGAGGCCAAAAATGGGGAACCCAGAGGCAGCAATAGGCAATGGCAATCTCTGAAACAGCTGATGGTTGGGAGGCTGATCCAACCAACAATCAGCTGCTTGTGCTAATCAGGCTTTGCTGAAACTGAATTTGCTGTTCGCTGCAAGGAGGCAAATTGCTGGGAGGCAGAGGCCAAAGGTGGGGGCCAGTGGGTGGGTGGGGCTACATTCAGTGTATAAGACTCACCCAAATTTTCACCCTCTTTTAGGGGGAGGGGAGTGTGTCTTATAGTCTGAAAAATACAGTAATTGAACGGTCTAGGCTTTTAAGGGATAGCCAGAATTTCTGGGCACAGAAAATTCTTAATTTGAAACAAATTCAAGAGAAAGCAAAGAACCTGTGCTAGGCTAATTTCCACTGCAGTGATGACCCTGGATGCCTTTAATTCAAATGACTGGTGATGGTGGTAGTGGGATGGAAACTAATCAAGGAGGGAAGCAACCTGGAATTAAGGAGGAACTTCTTACCAGTGAGGACAATCAACCAGTGGGACAGCTTGCCTTCAGAAGTTGTCAGTGCCCCATCACTGGAGGTTTTTAAGAAAGAATGGAATGGGATAGAATAGAATAGAATAGAATAGAATAGAATAGAACAGAACTTTATTGTCACTTTAAATGTAAAGTAATCAACATACATTAAAGTGAAATTTCATTGCGTCCAGCTCTCAAAAGATAACCATTATGCATAAATCCACATATACACACATACATATGACACAGAGAAATATCACAGTCTAGTTCGAGTGTATGCATATACACGGTGGGGGTAGGGGGGAAGAATCCTACAAATTTATGAGATGGATGGCATAAAGACTGGAGACACGGGACAACTGCTTGCCTGAAAAAGCATAGGGTCTCCTGTTTGTGCAGGGGGTTGGACTAGAAGACCTGGAAGGTCCCTTCCAGCTCTTTTCTGTTTGATTGGTTAAGAATGCTGCTGCTTTGCTCTGCTGCTTTGCAAAAGCCACAGTCAACAATCTTAAGCTATCCGTGTGGACAAGGAAGGTTTGATAAGATTTAGTAGCTCTGAATCCTGCAGATTTTTTTTCTTTTCCGTTTGCATCCTCTCAAGTGGAGGCAGGGAGGTGGCCTGTGGCTGAGAACGTAGTCTCGATATAGGTCGCATAGCTCAGTTGTAGGAAGGGATGAAATTTGAGGACAAGAGCAGAAGCAGGACAGCCATCTTGCTTTGTGAGATAAAGAAAAAGATTGGCCAAAAAAAGAGAAGAAGGACATTCCAGGAAACATTGTACAGCAGGGATCCCCAACCTGTGGGTCGCACTAGTGGGCTGTGACTGATTTGCAACTGGGCCACGGAAATGGCCGAGCATATGCGCTTGCGTGCTCCATTTGCGTGAGGGGCAGGCATGTGTGCACACTGAAGGTGTAAATAGAGTTGCACATGGTCACGCTTGATTTACATGAACTATCTTCCCCCCCCCCCCCCAGCCAATCCGCAAAGCAAGGAATGTTGGGGAATTCTGTCGTATAGGTGGGGATGGGATTCAGCCGTTTCGGACTGGTTCGGGCGAACCGGATGCTACTTTTGTTGTTTGGAAGGACTGGCTGTCTCTGGTCATGCCCCTCCCAAGAGTCTCCACGTGGCCCATTAATCATGCCGAATAAGTACTGGGCCTGTGCGGAGGGTCTGGGAGGGCAAAAAACAGGCCATCTAGAAGTCCGGAAACAGGCTCGTTTCCAGCTTCCGGAGACTGCGGGAGGCCATTTTCACCCTCCCAGAGGTTCAGGAAAGCCTCTAGAGCCTCTGGAGGGCGAAAAATGGGCCTCCCGGAAGTCCAGAAACTGGCCCATTTCCACCCTCCCGGAAGCTCCATGTAAAGCCTCCGGAGCTAACCTTTTTGAATCCTACTGCTGTATATAGGACAGGATGTGACCTGTGAGCAAGAAATCAAAAGTTTGGAGTAGAAAAGCGAGTTCATGGTAGGGAATACAGAGGAAGGAGCCGTGGGGGATGGGTGGGGGAGGTGTTAGAAGCAGAGAGAAATATCTTGTTTGCAAGGTTCTCTTTTTCCCCAGTTGACGTTCTCTTCTCCCAACAGGCCTTAAGGAGCTCATCCTAACAGGCTGCTCTTGGTGCTCCGTGTCGGCCCTCGGCACCGCCAACTTCCCCTCCCTACAGCTCCTAGATTTGCGTTGGATTGAGGATGTCAAGGATTCTCCCCTCCGCGAGCTGCTCTTGCCTGCCACAGATGCCAAGCCTGGTAAAGCTACCTGTACCGGAGGGAACGGTCTCTCGGACAGAGGGAGGGCAGGGATATCTGGACAGCAATTTTACCATTATTTTTTTTCCCATCCCAAGGAAGTGCCAGGCAATCCAGACGTACCCTCCAGCACCCCCCTTTTCCTTTCCNAGAGACAGAGACAGAGACAGAGACAGAGACAGAGACAGAGACAGAGACAGAGACAGACAGACAAAATATCTATGAAGCTCATAGGCATGGCCAAAACCTTCATATTCAACTTGAAAACAGGATTCTCTGGCAACTGAACAGAATTGCACAAAATCCGAAGGACGTTTTGGAAAATTGCATGTGTGCGTGTGTTTGTCTATTCCCGTGTGTGTGTGTGCGCGCGCGCGTGCGTGCATATCTGTGTACCTGCATACATGCATGTATGTTTGGTGTGTGCACACACACAAACGCACTCACACCCAGACTGCAGGCATCTATATAGTCTGTGTCTGTCCAGCACAATTCTCGCTTGATGAATGACAAGGTACGATAATAGGGCTCAGGTTGCCATGGTAACCAGACAGCCAAGCTGTGTGCCTTGAATTTTGTCATCTAAAAATGAAACCAGAAGTGAAAGGCAGGGGAGTGGGGTGGGTGGGTGGGGGGAGAGAGAGAGACAGAGAGACAGAGAGAGAGAAAGGGAGGGAAAGATGCAAGTAGAGGCAACAGATTAACTCATAGGAGCAAAGGAGGATGGATGGCAGAGAGGGGGAGCTAGCTAAAAGTAAAGAGAAAACCAGAAAGGGGAAGAGGTTAAGAAGGAGAAGGAGACCTTCAGCAACGAATATCGTTGGGAATGTAAAAACTTTATTGTGATTTGTGGGGTCTTTGATGCTTTCTGAGCTTGGTTGTTTTCTTGCAGATGTTTCATGACCCAACAAAGTAACATCATCAGTACTAGAAGTCCTTCTACCACTGATATTATCTCGTTGGGTCATTTGAAGCTCAGGGTTGAACTGTGGGTCCTTGGTGCTTTCCTGACCTCGGGTTATTTTCTTGCACCAAGGACCCACAGTTCAACCCTGAGCTTCAAATAATCTCTTCCATTGTTATTGTGATTTTGATAGCAATTGGAATTGGCAAATTGGCTTTCTGTGGAAACCATCTGAGAACGCCTTCTACTGTCCTGCTCTAGGACAGTAGAAGGGCATGAGGGCCCCTGGATGATTTTTTAGTGGATCTATAAGGGAAGCTCTACCCCACTGGTCCCCTTGGGACAGTCCACCAGAGGAGTTCTGTGCTCCAGGGAGAATAGAAGGAAGATCCTACTGGCTTAAATTGATGCTTCAGCTCAAGGCTGGCTCGAGGCATTTTGCTGTCTGAAGCAAGGGACGGCCCTTTCATTGCATGAATGAATACCAAGTGGGCTGGCTATGGAATCCATCTTCAACATGGACCATGGAATACAAAGCAATTGGAATTCAGGATAAGTTGCACATCACTCGCAGCACTCTTCTCCAACACCCTCTTGGCTCCCACTTTGCCTCTTGGTAGAACAAACCATTGTTGATTTAATTAACAATTAGAATCAAACAACAATGAAAAAAAACTAACATGCAGCTAAACATGAAGCCTTCAGTTTCTTTCTTCAGCACTCCTGATTCTCAAGGAGTGCTGAAGAAAGAAACTGAAGGCTTTATTTTGGCTGCCCGAGAACAAGCCTTGCAGACCAAGCCCACAAAAGCAAAAATTCAACATGTTAGCGACAAACAGCAGATGTCGCTTACGCAACAAGAAAGATGAAACAGCGGGTCCCCTTATCAGTGGCTGCAGAAAAAATCTCACAGACGGATTATCTACAATGCCAAAATTATACCTTGGAAGCTTTGCTAGATGTTTGGGTTCGAATGCAGCAAAAATTACCGGGAACACCAAAATGGACAAAAGTTCTTGAAAATGAACAAGCCAAGATCCTGTGGGAAATTTGGATCCAGACAGACATCTGACCTGACATCACTATTGTGGGAAAGAAAAAAGTCTGGTTCACCAGGTGAAGCACAAATTGAAGAGAAAGAGCTCGAAAAAAAATGACAAAATATTGTGATTTGCAAATTGAAGTTGAGTGACTATGGACTATCAATGTTGTACCAATAGTAATAAGGCACCTTGGGTGCAGTCTCAAAACAACTGGAGCATCACTTGAACACCATAGGCATTGACAAATTCTCCATCAGTCAATTGCAGAAGGCAGCTTTACTTGGAACTGCCTCCATCCTGCGGCAATATCTGTAACACCCTCAAACATCCAGATTTGCCTATCCCAGCTCCTTGGAAAGGACTTGATAGGTAGACAAAAATACCAAACCCAGACTGAACATCTGGCT